AGGGGACAACAGGAGGAATCGAAATTCATGGTCTTGACTTTTGTAAACCTTCGAGCTCTGAACTTTGACCGCACCGTGTCCTTGTCTCTTCCCACAACATAGTCAAGGCAAGGCCGAGGGCTTGTGGTCAGAGGTTGCCGCGGTCCAACCTCGACGATCATTGCACCTCCAGAGCGTCTGCTCGAGGTGCCCCTGCGAGGCCAGGGCCGCCGCCAAAGCGCGCTCCAACCCCCAACACGTAGCGGCACTCGCGGGGGAGGGCAGGGTGGCGGGGGCCTTCCCCGCCGCGGGGGGCGCTTCCACTGTTCCCGCGGGCACAATACGCAGGACGAACAACTTCCTTCGTCGTCCGCCGACGTCGTCCTCCTTCCCGCCCGCCTTGCTCCTCCCTCGTCCCCACCCTCTTCCCCTTCCTCCTCCCCTCCCTCCCCTATAATCTCCCTTTTGTACCACTCCGTGTACTCGTCGTCATCGTCCTCTCCATCGTATCCTTTATCCGCCGACATCTTTAGAAATCTCCAGCACAACATTTTTTAACTTTGAGAAATCTCTGATCGTCCGCGTCCACCGCGGGCTGCGCCGGGCCGCGCTCAGCCCCATTATCTGGCGAGGCGGAGGCGTCGAGGCCGCGCCTTTATCAGGCGGGGACCCCGGGTCGCGTCGGGTCGCCTGACATGCCTAATCTGTGAGCCGCCTCCTTGCCCCGGCATCGCGGCAGGGCGGGGCGGCAGCGGCGGCAGCGGCGGCAGCGGCGGCAGCGGCGGCAGCGGCTTCAGTCTGACGCCGAGGACCCGGCCAGCGCCGCGCCCACCCGCCCTGCACCATGGACACCGCCGACGGCGTCCCCAAGGTATGCAAAGTTTTTATGGGACAGCTTGGAAGGTAACCAGGTGGACATCTCAGAACCGCCATCCTGAATAAGTAAAAGGAGGTGGGTTTGACGGCGTACTTACACTGTGTCCGTGTCAACTTTACACAGCTCGGCAGGTGTCCAAAAATGGCCGTAGTTTTACTCTGAAAGCAACTGAGTTGATATGGGTTGTAAGTGGAGTCAGAAGAGGGCTTTTACTTCAGAGCTGTGCGTACTCTTTAGCCTGAAGTTTTCAGTGCGTTCCATGAGCACGGAAAAAAAAATTCCAACGACCACCAACGTGTTCTGGTAGACGGGTTGTTCGTCCAAAGACACGATGTTGCTGACCCTATGACAGCCGCCGGTTGTGCCACCGACCATTTTGCATGTCGTTGAGCCAGCATATCATAGTCGTTGGAATAGCATCCTATGTTCCTGAAGACATTCCAAGGACCAAATGTTGATGGTCCACTGACACGTGTCGTTGGAACAATGACAATATTTATTTTTTGAGAGCGGTTTTTAGACAAGTCAGGTCATTCAAACTGCTCCCCTTCCCCGGGGGCGCGGGGCGCAGCGTAAGCTCCGCACCACGCACCGTGCGGCCCGCACACTGCCGGAGGGAAGCTGCTAAAAGTATCCACCCCTCCCGCCCCCTGGACTGGTGACTCAGGCCCGTTTCATTTCTGTTCTTTTGTGATTTACGAATTGCGACCGTAGAATGAATGCATCTGGATTACTCTAATTCCTGGGCCGCGCGACCGCCGCGCCCGAAATTGCGGCGTCGTTGTCCTGTCGCTCCCCACTTGCTCAGCTCGCTGCGTCCGAAATGGGGGAAATGTGTGCGGCCGGCCCGGGGCCCGGGGCCCTCCTACCCCTGGAATGGGCGGCGCGTATGAAAAATATCACCCGCGAAACGCGCTCATTTCGAAAAGGAGCGTGGGATGCCGGGAACGGAGTCCCTTTGTTTTCCCATCAGACTATCATATGAAAAATTGCTGGTTCTTAGAAAATAATCCCCCCGGCAGCAGGCATCCCCCCCCCCTCCCCCCTCGCACCGCCCGGGGCGCCGCCGGAATAGACTCCGGCCTGCGACATTAAAACTTACGCGCCACGCGCCGGAGTCTCTGACGCGGAGGCGAAGCCGCTTTTGGCCGCGTTTTGAGAAAGAGATACGCCCTCTCGGGTGTCACGCCTGCTTTTCCTGCTCACCGCCTCGCGCCGCCCCCGCCGGGCCGGGGCACCTCGGTGAGCCCCGACACACTCATCACCAGACCAAAGCCCCCCGCCCCATACACCTGGGGACGTTCAGACCGCCTTCGACTGCCTCGCGTGGACCCGCAGCACCGGCCCGCGGGCCGGCCTGGAGCCGCGGCTTGGCTGCTTGTAGCCTGGAAGTACCGGACAAGACGGATGGGGGATGGGGCTGAGAAATGCGGCCGATGTGCGCGTTACTGCTGCACGCACCTCGTCCTCTGCGAGAGGGCCCCGCCGTATTGTAGCCCGCGAGTGATGGATAGCGAACACCTTGACGAGATAAAACGGAGGAAAGTTGTTCGCTGCAAGCGGCCGTGGGCTGCCCGGTGGTCGTTTCCACGCATAGCAACGCGGTGGGAAATGAGTCTGAATGCGTCAAAAGGGGGAGAGGGAGGTTTGGGCGTGGGTGCGGCCTCCTCGCCTCCGGGGCGCGGAAAGAGTCGGGGATGGCGGTGGGAGTGGCGGCGCAGTGCTCGATCGCTGCCGGCCAGCCGAGCGGGCAGCCCACCTGCGCCGTTGCCGTGGCCCGGGGGAGCGCGGCGCCCGCGCCCCCGCTGCGCTCCGGCCGCCGCAGCGCGCCCCTCTCTGCCACGCCACGCCACGCCACGCAACGCCACGCCACGTTTGTTCCCCGGCCAGCCGCAGCAGCGGCACGCCTCCAAGATGTAATCGCCGTTCGTGATCTTGATCGCGCCGGGCGGGGGCCGTGATCGGAATACAATCAGGATGAGGCCGTTTAGCAGCGGCCACGGCCTCCGCCGCGCTGGTCGGGCCAGACGAGGCCGTGCGCGTGGCCACCCAGGTGCAACGGCGGTAGGGGGATGGACCCAAACAAAAACGCTCCGGTGTGCAAAACAAACTAAAAGGGCCACCCTACCGGCGGCGGTGCCAAATGGGCGCGCGAGCCGCGGGAGCGGAAGGCCAGCCGCCTGGCCGCCTGGCGCGCGACCCGCTGGGTACGGCTCCCCCGGAGGACCTCGTAATCTATAAAGCCTCGTAAAATACACGATAATGAGAGTGTTGTGAGGCGGGGCGGGGCCGTGCGTGCGTGCGTGCGTGCGTACCGGGTGATTCAGAGAAGACGCAGGTGCGGGCGGGTTTGCCTATCCTCGACTCGGCGGGCGCACGGGTCCAGGTCTGGGGAGATGTGAGGAGGGGACCCGTGCGCCCGCCGAGTCGAGGATAGGCAAACCCGCCCGCACCTGCGTCTTCTATGAATCACCCGGTACGACACGCTGTGGACTGAGACTGTGGCCGGGACACAGAGTGCTCCGGTAGAACAGCGTGGCTGCCGCCTCCGCGGGGACCGCGCCCCGCCCGTCCCGTCTCAGCAAATCAGAGTGCCGGCGCCGTAGAAACGGCTAAAGCGAGCAGCCAGCTAGGTCTCTTTTCTCTCCGACCCGTGAACCCACGGACTGTCGTCAGCGCACATCGGACCGACCACTTCGGTAGCTGTCGGATAGCCCACGTAGAAGCGCGACGCGCCGGAGTTTGGCGAATCGGTACTTTTGTTGATTTTTGTTTACCATCACTATACCGCGGTTGGCGCCTTATGGCCCCGAGCGAGTAGGCAGCCCACCCACACGCGGGCAGTACAGACATTACTGTATAAATTTTAAAAATAATATTCGGGTGCAGTGGGACTTGCGATGTGCCCGGTAGTTTGTACGCACCCACTGGAAATGCAGGAGCAGGAGGCACGCGCGTTGAGCTCAGGAGAGTCGTCACTCTCCTGATAGCAACGTTTGTTTTCGTCGCTCTATTTAAGTGGTAATTTTATCGCCTCATTTCAATGACGAACGTCGGACAAAAAGAGCGACGGACCAAAATCGACCCGCATACGGAGCGATGCTGCAAATCGTAAGTCATATGGAGCAATGTTGCAGAATCGCCGGTCAAATGAATCGACGAAAACGAGCGTCACTCTTATATGGTATTTCACTTCATTTAAACCGGTTTCAAAAATAGAGGAGTGATGCTTCCAGTTTCCACAAGGTTATTGGTGGACGCGAACGGAGTTCACGGACTCACCACCACCAGGTCCGAGGGCTTTGTCCACGTCAGCGTCAGCTAAGGAATCATCCATACAGTACGTGAGTCAATCGCCGTTGCGAACCTGCCTAGTTTCGGCATTTGAAAGCTCTCGTAGCGCCTGCTAGGTAGGCAACATCTTGCTTGCAGTGCATACATGTACTGCAGGGTGGCCTACCCCAAGTATCGCAGGCGCTAAGCTACTGTAATTCGCCGAACAAGTCTGTGAACAACGGACGTACTTTCTGGACGATCACAAAGCTGAAAAGAAAAAAGAATGCGAGGTAAAAGAAAACGGAAACGACCATGCTACAACATGGTGACCTCCGTTTGCTGGTTCCCCGCGTCCTTCTTCTACTCCGCTGCTTTACCGGAACGGTTTATTGCGACCGTATTATTATTCGGCGCACTTCAGACTACGACGAGTTCCACAACACGCATAATTAGAGGACCACAATGTAATGTGGCGGGGTGAGTTTTTCCATGCCGCCCCGTGGCCGTGCGGTAGACGCGCGCCGGCGTCATGCCGGTGCCGAGGGAGGTGCTGTCCTGTCCGTCCCGGGCTGGGCTGGGCTGGGCTGGCCCAAAGGGCTCCGCGTCCTCCGCGGGGAGCGCGGCGGCACGCGAGCAGCGGGCGGGGCAGCGCGAGCGGCCAGCAGACAGCAGCCACGGCCGCCGCGACCCGAGCAATCATCGCGAGTGTCGTACGGAATCGTAGCCTTAATTAACACCGCGCACTTGATTGCAACAGTTACTTTTCAAAAGTTGTGACTCAGGAGCAAATTTAACTCATGCCTAAAACAACGAATAACATCCCCCCTAAAAACAAATCGACGAGATTCTGAAATTGAATCTGAACAGGGACTTGCGATTCTGATAAAGTGTCCGAGGAGCGAGCCGTAGAGTATATCCAGAACTACAATCGCATCAGTCACTGCGGTAACGCGTCATTTCCCTATACGAGAAACCGGAATCCGGTGGACAACACTTTTGATTCGATATTGCAGTGTTCGCCGAAGAGTGAACTACCGTGTCTGGCACAAGTTGTGTCCGCAGACGCACCACACCATTCGTTGCACCATCTCATGAAAGCACACAATCAACGGGGAAATTTCAAAAAAGTTACGAAAAACACGACCAAATTATAGTTTTGAAACTTGGATGTGAGGGGGGGGGGTGGATGAGTTCGTTTCGGGCTTGGAAAGCGTCGAAGAGAAAACTACACCTAGCTCGATGAACGTAAAATCCAAGTCCGCGCTTCCCGCTGTTCGGCTGCTCTTTAGCCACAAAACTGGGGTTCGGTTCGGGACGATACAGAGTGGGTGTCCTATCCCGTTCTTTTTTTCTGGTTGTACTGTATCGCATGCATGTGACGAGCCGACTTGCCTATAGCCTTATGGCCCCGTTCAAGTATGCAACCCGTCCGCGGACGCCTGCATGCTGCACAGTAATCAGAAATGAAGTTTAGGCGTGGAACACCCACTGTGTACTTTGGAACACAAATGAGACTGGCCCCCCCGCCTTCCGCCTATTTCTCACCACGGCTGTGGACGGCGGTGATCGGCGGAATAATTGAGCTCAGCATCAGACAAGAAACTCAGTTCAGCCGGGAATGTCTGTCAGCCCAGGCTTCAGCGTGCACTAGGCAGGCAGTCACCGTGCAGGAAATAGGCGAAAGCAGCGAACGAGATGACGTCCTAATGGAATCCATTCACCCAGAAAATGTACTCATTGGATCAACGGAATTCCTTCAAGCCGTGTGCAAGGAAATGCTGTGTTTCATTTGAAGGGATTTTTATTTGTTGCGGCGTCGGATTCTTTGACCTAACGACAGATTTTTTTCTTTTTCAATAAATATTGGCCTCGAAATAAATGCACCAATTTCTTTGGACATGGCCAAAGGAATTCCGTTGATTCGATGGACCCATTTTCTGCCTCGCAATTTGTGTGTACGAATGGGTTTAGCTCGGAGCAGTCAACCACTAACGCTAACTGTTCATTGAGCATTGTGACGCTCATCCGAGTGCCTCCCAGCGGTCCTAGAGGTCCTAGCCTCCAGCTGCCTGGGCGGCGTGCTCGGCGCCGTCCGCGGCGGACTCACCTCGACCTGTGTTCGCTGTGGCGGCGCTGCCCGCCGAGTCGCTGGCCTGGTGTCGGCGAGGGCTGCCAAGTCGGAGTATGCTGACTGTCGGGGACCTCGGCGGAGGTGTCAGTGGAGGAGGCCGATGGTGGTCCGGGTGCTCGGTCTCGGTGGCGCCGGGCAGACCGTTTGCCTGTTGCCTGTCGAGGGGGCGAAGCGAGAGTGGCCGAATGAGTAGCAGCATAGTCACCCCTGTCCCTGGAGGGGGTGGTGCTGGGAGGGGGGCGCCGGCTGCAGGCGGGGGAGCCCCGCGCGGGCCCGGCGGGGGGCGCGGCGCGGACCTGCGTACGAAGGGCGGCTGGCGCGGCCAATCGCGAGCGAGCGCACCCCTCCCCTCCCTCCCCACCGCACCGGGGTTTGAGTTGACATCTCGATATGATCGGCGGGCCGAGGTCTGCAGTCCGCGACAAGTGAGCCAATAACAGCGATAATGCCACAGCGATAAGGGCTCTGAACGCTCTCTGAACAGGTGTGTGTCGGCCCGACACGGGCTCGTGTCCGGGGTCAGTGCGAGCAGCACGCGGCAGCATGTCCGTGCGCAGGCACAAACACCTTCGAGGCTGGATTCTATAAATCTCACTATTGAGCCGCGTAGCGCGGCGAAACTAGACTCCTCGGCAAAGCATCCGGCAAAGCATCCGGCGGAGCTGGAGTGCATGGTGCATTGGTGCATGTTGATGCGCCTGCTTGGTGCGTCCAACGCGCTTCGATGTCTGCTACCCGCTGCTGCTGCTGCTAACCCTCCGTTGCGCACGCGAGGGAACGTGGCCAGGAAGAACAGCCATACACCGCCCAGAGATGGTTGCAGGGGCGGTTTCAAACTCCACTGACGGGCGGGGTGATGTCATGTGGGTTGCCTACAGGCGTATGTTGCCTACTTACAGGCGTCTCATCTGAAACGGGGGGAGGGTGAGGGGACCGCCCCCGTAAAACCGTGCTCCCGCGATGGCGCGGCTACGCGGGTGGGGTAGGGCAGAGGGCAGGTGTCATCATGAATCATGAACTCCCTCCTCCCACACCCTCTTTCTCGGGAGCTTCGAACACCCTTATTGCAGATTAGTCTACAAAAACCTTCTCTCCGCCAGGAGTGGGAGCCAGGCCGGGTCTGAAGGTCGAGGTGATAAGCGTGGTGCCGATGCCTATTACAGGTGGAGAAAAACGCGTTTTGCCTTTCGGTCAGGCATTTTCTAAAAACGTTCAGTGCGGCGTGATCACTATGGTCACGCTTTCTGGTTTCTCCAACGCCCCACGATGCACAGCCCTCTGCACAGCTGGGAAGGATGAGGATGAGGAATCCCTTCCCTGAGCCCCAGCCTTCTCCTGCCTTCAATAAATAAGTAGAAAATGTTGTTGCTCTGCCATTTCGGAACGGAGTTTATTTAATCTCTGGGTGAAATTTGCCTCACCCCAATGCGAAATGAGTCTTTTTCGATGTAGAAACGAAAAAAGATTCATCTCGCACTGGGACCATCCACATCGTCAAAGATCAAACTCAAGTACGCTGACATGGATATGACTGACAATAAGACACTGTGCCGTATTTCAAATCGCTCAATTTGGTTCATTTTGGGATCGAATCGATGAAATGGTGATATAATCGGATATAATTTGTGATTCGAGAAGAATTTGGTCTCAAAATAATCCAAACGATTTAACAGTGATGAAATAGGTCTTACATGATTGTCCAATTCATATCATGGTACTTCAATTTTACCGATTCCTTGACGAATCTGTATGTGTTGGGAACTCTCGAACAAGTTTTCTATGCAAAATGCACGGGCTGCCTCTTCCTCGAAAAGGATTTGCTATTTGCCTCCACCTTGACCCAACCCCAACTCCCGTTCACAACCACCCACGATTACCCACGACTCCCTGCAGCCCTCGGCATGGCCGGGGAAAGCATGCGCAGGCATGCGGCGTGGCAATGTTTCTTGTAGAGACTCGTTAGCTTCTATCAAATTACAGACAAACTTTGCCCCAAATTAGCACTCATCGCCATTGCGTGTGAGTTCCCCAGTCGAGTCACATTCACGTAGTACAGTTGTTTGCTTTTAAAGTTTCGCGACAAGTCTGCCCGCTGTGTCGCCAACGCGCAATGAGGAGTTTGGAGGGTGGGGGGCACTTCCCCTTGCTTATATATTTCCTCCGTCAAGCAAATAAAAGTGCATTTATTGCAGAGAAAAATAGATAACTGTAAACAAAAGTTTGATCAGATGGCACAGTAAGTCTTTGGTTTGAGCCACGCGCTTCTTC